CTTTGGGGCAGGAATTCATGGATAGTTTGATATTCAGGTGATCAAACAAGTTATAGTAATATACAGAAAAATAAGTATATTTATTTGAGCATATGCTGTATACATGACTGTCTTTCTGGTTCATTGTGAGTCAGTGAGAGTTGACAGGCCTATTCAATTCCTGTGGTCTGGCTACCAAGGAATGGGAAATCCAGTTGAGCACTAGCGTTTTCCCTTTCCCTTTGCTGCCATCTCATGAGTATCTAGATATTTTCAGTGTGATAGTCCTACGTACCCAAATGGGATATTACAGTCCCATTACATGGGAGGAGACTAATTGTATTCTTTCATGCTACTGCATTGATAAAATTTGTGGGCAGGAGGAAAGATAAAACATTTTGAAAAATGCCAGTATATAATATACACTGCTCAAAAAAATAAAGGGAACACAAAAATAAGACATCCTAGATCTGAATGAATGAAATATTCTTATTAAATACTTTGTTCATTACATAGTTGAATTTGCTGACAACAAAATCACACAAAAATTATCAGTGGAAATCAAATTTAGCAACTCATGGAGGTCTGAATTTGGAGTTACACTCAAAATTAAAGTGGAAAAAAACACTACAGGCTGATCCAACTTTGATGTGATGTCCTTAAAACAAGTCAAAATGAGGCTCAGTAGTGTGTGTGGCCTCCATGTGCCTGTATGACCTCCCAACAATGCCTGGGCATGCTCCTGATGAGGTGGCGGATGGTCTCCTGAGGGATCTCTTCCCACACCTGGACTAAAGCATCCCCCAACTCCTGGACAGTCTGTGGTGCAATGTGGCGTTGGTGGATGGAACGAGACATGATGTCCCAGATGTGCTCAATTGGATTCAGGTCTGGGGAACAGGCGAGCCAGTCCATAGCGTCAATGCCTTTGTCTTGCAGGAACTGCTGACACACTCCAGCCACATGAGGTCTAGCATTGTCGTGCATTAGGAGGAACCCAGGGCCAACTGCACCAGCATATGGTCTCACAAGGGGTCTGATCTCATCTCGGTACCTAATGGCAGTCAGGCTACCTCTGGCGAGCACATGGAGGGCTGTGCAGCCCCCTAAAGAAATGCCACCCCTGATATTTCCGGTTTGAGCCTCTTCGGCGACAGACCGAAACCTCGTCTCTGTGAGGCTTCGATCTGTGCTCGCCGCTAGAGCGCCCCAAGCCAACTAGTTTCGAGGCTAAGCCACCCCGTAGAGGTGGTGAAGAGGGGGGAGACTGCCTGCAGGATTGAGGAGAGCCGCATCTCTCCTCCCCAGCTGCCCATTACTCTCTTTCCTGAAGGCGGTTGTAGCGGTGGTCAGAAATGGCCACCACAAAGAAGAACTTGACCGGAAAAGAATGTGCAGGAGGAAGATAAGAAAAGAAAGTTTTGGTTGACCGGGTCAAACAGTAAAAGCAACAAATAAGGTATCCTGGAATTGAAACTATTAAAAAAAGAACAATAACATTGTTCCCTAAGAAGATTTTTAAGCTGCGAAAGAGAGAAAAGGGAAAAGATTTGTTTTTGTTTTTTCTCCTTTTCCTATACTGACAGCTAAGAGACTTAAGCAAGAAATTGGAAAAAAAATCCACTTTGACATTAATAGGCATTTAATGCTGAAAATAAAAAGTCAAAGGGATAATAAAGATTTTTGGATAATCAAAAGCTTTTGAAAAACAGGAAAGGAGAGAAAAAGAATAAAAGAGCAGGATCTGGAAGGGAGGAGACTGCCTGGAATTAAAAAGAACTTACAGCAAAATCTCACCAAGACTTCCAAAAGTTACATTTTAACTGAAATATCGCAACAAAAACCCCAGGAAGAGAAAGTGGAAAAAGAAATAAGAAGAAATAATTATAATTCCCTGTTCTTTAAGCTCTTGGTTTGATTTTAGTTTCGCCTGGGTGTCTAATAATTCATTGTAGTTTATCATTTTACCCAAGTCTAGTCTATTCAGGTGCATCATGGCCTCCATAGTTGACAACCAATTTGGTATCTTCATATAATGTTTTTTTAATTCTCCATATTTAGATTAGTGAATATCTTATTTGGTGTTGATTGAAATAGGCATGTGCTTTATCTTTTTTCTCCCACAGGAATGCATGCCAACCTATCTGGAGGTCATGACCTTCTAATGTTAATATTTTTTTATCTTTTAATTTAACCCAATCTAATTTAATCCAATTTAGTACCGCTGCCTGATAATAAAGCTCCCACACTGAGCTTCTTAATGAAAATCTGATACTCTTATATTTGAACTGGACCAGTCTCTTCCAGTTAGCAATAAGGGTGAGATTGGCTTAGGGTCTAATCAGTTTCAGGGAGCCATCCAGAAGGAGGGTTCTAATCAACTAATTAAGGTCACAGTTGAGCTTGTTAGGAAAGGCTGAGCTCGGAAAAAAACAACTCAAGAAGGGATAGTTCATTTAAGTAATCTCTTTGCACTGCGAGGAGCAGGGCTGGGATTCAACCCGTGTTACTACCGGTTCACACACATGTACAGCATTTGCAAAAAAAATCAGTTGTGTAGCCAAGACAGCTGACAAGCGTGCAGCATTTGAAAATCCTTTTCTTTCCTGTTTTTTCAACCTGAGCTGTGCCGCGCAAAGCAGCTGAGGTTGAAAAAGCAGGAAATAAAGGACAGCCAAGAGCCCGGGCAGGCAGCTGGGTCAAACAGATGACCAGAAGATCGTTTCAGCGAACCGGTTCGGTGACTGCTGCTCTTCGGAGCTACCTATAGAACCAGACCAAACCAGTAGCATCCTACCCCTGGCGAGGAGGTAAAAATGGAGAAAGGGGTCAGGCATAGGACACTGTATGAAAGAACTTTATCTGAACAAGATTGCAGCAACCAGCTATCTTCTCCACATCTCTATGTATCTATCTCAATACACACAGTGTCACATATGTCTACTTAGCAGCGGTGTTGCTCTATGACCATTTTGCTGGAATCAATTGAAGTCACTAAATGACACTATATTAATATTAGAACTGGCTTAATTACAAGTGTTTCTCAGTTTATATTTTTGGATAATCTTAATATTGCCAAGCAATATTTTGCATAGCTTAACAGCGTATATATTCTGCAATTCCAACAAGATAACTGTTAGGGTAGCTTAAATAAAATTGATCTAAATATGTTTCCTAAGACTGTCTTATTTTTCTTTCCCTTTCTCCTAGTAAAGATCCATAAACACTATGTAACAGATCACTTACTGATAGTACTACAGATTGGAAAAAAGATTTTAGAAATGGCTTTTCTTGAAGAAAATGCATAAATGAAAAAAATATTATGCTTGACTGGTAAGGTAAATGTTCTAAAAATGTTGATTTTTGGATACTCATCCCAAATTCTTCTTTAATCATTGCTTCATTCAAAATGCATGACTTTTTTTTGCATTGTGCATTTTTATTTTAATCTGGACATAAAAATCTTGGTGAACAGATCGAATCAAAATGTTAATTCAAGATTACTGATAAAATCAAATGTGTGTACAAACCTTTTTAAAACTTTATTTTTATAATGGTGGTTGATCTCATTCAGTAAAAGAAAATGCCTTTTTCTCTATATGTACATTTTGGTATGTAATATAGAGAAACATGGTTCTGTCACAACAACCATATCCAGACTAATGTGATAATTTTTCACTTTTAAGTAGGGGATTCTCTGGCAAGGTATATTTGCCTACCAATTTTTTTTTTTTTTCATGAGAAGAGCTATTGTATTTTGGTTACAGTCAGTAAAACTACTGGTAGTTCCAAGTGCCCATTCATTTTTCAGCAATTGCTGACGTGTCTAAGGAGTTTGATTTCAATACTACATCCAGAAAGAGTATCAACAGTTGCTACAGTTCAGTGGATGCCAAGGTGTCAGCACTTGCTAGCAGGTTAAAGATTTATATGGTCTAAAAAGGTCCAACCAAAGTATACAATCTTACTTATGTTTTAATAAGTCAATTTAAAGTTTTTAATCTGTTTAATAAGACCTGTAAACTTTAAAAATTATTTATGGCATGGTATTTAGCTGAAAAGTACTGAAAGACTTACAGCAATCTAAAAAGATTAAAGTAGTAGTTGTAGTAGTAGTAGATGATTAATACAGTATCTTTCGGAATAAAATGTACTTCAAAGGAGATACATTTTCATTGCAAATTATATGTGTTACTTTCTGATCAATAAATAATATATCTGATTTTAATTTTTTATCGATATAAACACCTGTTGCTTTTTCCCCCCTTGCTATTTATTCCAATATAATGTTGTATGCATTTGTGTGCCCTCAGTTAAACCAGACAGCATGGGCTAACTTCCTATTCAGTTTTTAATGCATACCTATGGCCAGCAGCCTAGTAAGGAGGCAGATAATTTTAAGAGGATTAACTCTTAAGGCAGAAAATAATATTAGCAGGAAAAATATCTCAGTTCAAAGAAAGGTAACTCAGTTCAGAGTAAGTGATTTGGTCCCTAAGGATGGCGTGCTATTTCTTTTGAAGTCAAAGCTTTCTGCTCTTGTCATTGAAAAAGAAGGAATTAGGATGTTATAATTCCTGAGACTAACAATACAAACCCATGCGTATATCTTTAGAAGTGAAGCTCAGTGTGTAGGCTTCTATAAGGTAGTAGTTTTCCTCTCCCCCCCAAAAGCATTACTGAAAGTATTGTTGGAATAGATGATTCTCTTCTAAGCAGTTATGAACCAGCCCATCTTGTTGAATGTTTTTGTTTTTCAAAATTGTAATTAGCAAAATACCAGATGTTATCACATTTTTAAGTCTGTGTGAAAGCAAGTGAGTGAAACCAGCAAGCAATATTGCTTGGATATAAAGCTGCAGCCTTTATGTTAAAATGTGTCCATTTTTTGGTGAAAATAAGTTTTATTTACTTATAGAGATAAGTAGCCATCTTCTGGTTTTCAGTTAATCTTCTCTGTGTATATTTATGTTGATGGAAGCAGATGTTTAAAAGAAGCTGAATTTTTTTTTACAGATAGTTTGTATGAGTTCCAGAGAAGATGGCTTATGTTAGCCTAAAGGAATTTGGACTAATATTTGGAGTAGTGGCCGCTTGCTACTGGAACAGTCTATTTTGTGGCTTTGTTTTTGATGATGTTTCTGCCATTTTGGACAATAAAGATTTGCATCCTTCAACTCCAATTAAGAATCTTTTTTTGAATGACTTCTGGGGAACACCCATGTCTGAGGTAAATATTCCCTACAGGACACTTAAAGCATTTTTATAAAGCATTGAACCAATGCGTAGACCTACTTTGCACTTCAAAAATGTCATTTCAGCCTTCAATGATATTTTACAAAATGCTGAAATTTTATTTTTCTTTCATTTTATTTTACAACATATATGATGACCAGGATATAAATCTTGATCATCAAGATATTAAAGATGACAGGAAAAATCAATGTAATTCAAACTAGATTATCTGAAATTCGTACTTTATAAACCCTCATCATATCAGAAAAAAAATTGGAATGAGCAAGTAGACTCTGTCATACACAGAGAGCTTCAGGGAGAAGATTTGATTGTTTTTGAGCAAACAGAATTGGCATGAGTGCCCTCAAGGTTCAGGGGGACATTGGCAATTTTTCAAATCTCCTATTCATGTTACTTTGAATGTTTGAAGAGAAAATACAATGTAATCTAGCAATGTACAAAGGAGTGGATTTGTGCAGTCTATGTAAACTATGCAAACTATGCATTTGCCTAATTTGTCTATCTGGCTGTTCATTTATCATCATCTTTAAGGCGGGAGATACGTATATACTACTTGTTTAGGCTTCTAAAACTTTTTTTTAGAATTTTCAATTTTACCAATAGCTTTTATTCCTTTTCATCTATGTGATGTTGTTTACTTCTTTGTTTTGTCTTTTTAGGAGAGAAGTCATAAGTCGTATCGCCCTCTCACTGTCTTCACATTTCGTTTGAACTATCTTTTCAGTGAATTAAATGCTATTTCTTACCACTTCCTGAATGTCATCTTTCACGCAATTGTTTGTATCATTTTCCTCAAAGTCTGTAAGCTTTTCTTGGACAACAAAAGCAGTTTGGTTGCATCTTTACTATTCGCAGTACATCCCATACATACTGAAGCAGTAAGTACATTTAAAGGTCTTGCTAGTTCAAACTGGAGAGTTCTTAAACAGTGTAGGGAAACAATGCAGGGTGATGATAGTGAGAAAACAATTTAAAGAAATGGGGGGAAATGTTAAAATAAGGGGGTTTTTTTATTCTCAAATACATCTACATTTAAACCTATCATGTACTTCCAGACATTACCTTTCCAGCTACCACATGATTGTGTTAGTGCATTTGAAGTGTGCTTTAGGAAGTGAACTGGCATAAGCAGTGAATTGCTCCCTTGTTAAAGCTGTGAGGCAACTTGTCCTATTGAAGGCTTGTGCAATTGTGTCAAAAACGTTCCAAGGTCATGTGTTTGGCAGGGCTTCTGCTTGGCAAAATGACTGTTAATGTACATACACAGTACTCAGATTACATCATGTCTTTTGAATCCAAAGAGCTTTTTCTAAGCATATATTCACTGAGCAATCAACATTTTCCCTCATTCTTGGTCTCTGAATGAGTCAGATTCTTCTTACTCTATTTTCTCTTTCCCACCCATCCATTTATGTCATGTAACCAAAAGAGAAAGGAAGAAAGAAAAGTTTATTCTAGGTCACATTTGTTTGGGATATAATGCACATTTTTTCTCCAAAATTCATTCCTGACTAAAAATAAAACAACTCTGATATGGCAACTTGCTTTCTTCCTAAGTTCTGCAAGTTAAAACCAAGCAAGTCAGTCCTGATTAATTTGGGTATGTGGGCTGGGAGTTGGAAAAGCACCCTGGAAAAAGGCAATGGCAATACTTTATATACTATCCTCAAGAAAAGTCCATGGATGTGTTAATATAAGTCAACAGGGATTGGGCTTGACCTCAGAGCAGGGTGTCAAACTTGCAGGCCACGGGCCAGATGCGTCACATGCTGGCCACGCCCATGCCCGATTTAGCAAAGGGGGGAAACGTAATATGTCATGTGACGACACCGTGATGACACAACTTTGACACCTATGCCTCAGAGCATCTTCACTTTACTTATAATACTAATTTAGAATATGGGCATTTCCTTGTTTATCCACATGATGGCAGTCTAATTCTGTTCCTGCATATTTCATCAAAACAATGGAAGGTCGGAACTCTTAATACAAATATATAAGATTTTTTTTTGTCCATTACTTTAATACTTTATCTCATTTTATTTAAATGATTTATATTGCTGTATCTTTTATTTAGGTAACTGGTGTGGTGGGCAGAGCAGAACTTCTCTCCTCAATTTTTTTTCTGGCTGCTTTTCTGTCCTATACCAGATCCAGAGGGCCGGAAAACACTATAGGTAAAGCAAACAATCAGTGGTCAATAATTCATCCCCTACCCCACATCCTCAATGTAGTTACTTAAAGCCCGGATAGGGAAACTGGTTGTGTGATTTCTTAAAGCCCGGATAGCAGTGGTTGTGTGATTTCAAATCACTGTGTAACAAGTCAGTTCAGACCTATCTGTTGTTCTATGGATAAGAGTAAAGAATATATTAATATGAAAGCCAGAGAGCGATAGGTCCCAATCATACCCTTAGCACTGGAATCAATCATTCCTTGCTGCATCTCTGCCACCACATGTCTCACAATAAAAAATATTTTAAGGAAAGCCGACATCTGTAAAAGGTCACCCAATCCTAATTTAAGGAAACGAGCAAAGGCCACATGATTTTGGAAGTTGTGGCAGGGCACCAGATTGAAGAACTATACCTTGGCATGGCATCTACAAATGAATGTTACAGTATAAGATGGTACTTCTATTCTTAAATAGCTATAAAATGTGGTCAGTCTCCAATAAAACCATCTGGCAAGACAATGTGCATTCAGTGTTCAGAGAGTAAGGAAATATTTCCAGGCTGACATTTGAATTGCAATGTTGCTTTTCCCAATTTCATGAAGACTAACTATTTTTGTACCTTGCAGTGTGGACTCCTATTGCAGCAACAGTTTTTTTGGTGGCTGTTGCTACATTATGTAAGGAACAAGGAGTAACCGTGGTGGGGATATGTTGTGTCTATGAAGTATTTATTGCTCAAGGGGTAAGGAATTTATCTGATTCAATTTCAAATCTGAAATTAAAACATGGAGACATTTGGCTATGGGATTTAAATGATTCCCTTTAGATATATTTATTCAAGTTGGTGATATCACACTCTATTCACAGGAGTATGTATTACATTTAATGAATATATCTAGATGAATAATTTAGTCCCAACATTTTTATTGCAGAATAGAACTGAAAGTATCATAAAGATTATCTGGGATCCCTTTGTGCTAAAGGAGGACACTCAAATGTATTCCAGACTGATTAGATCAATGTTTTTCAAACTTGTCAACTTCAAGATGTGTGAACTTCAACTCCCAGAGTTCTGAATCACCATGCTGGGTGTGGAATTCTGGGAGTTGAAGTCCACACAGCTTAAACAAGTTTGAAACACTAGACTACCTCACCTGAGTTCCAAGTCACATGCAAATGCAAGATACCAATGACATCTCACATGCAATAGGTTTTGTCCAAAGCTAAAAATACCAAATGAAAACTCTTGTTCCTATTATTGAATTACTGGCAAAGGAATCCACAGACCGCCCAGTTCTTATCTATTAAAATTATTTCCCCTGTGCCCCATTACTTCAGGTATAACTACATCAACCCTGGAAATATTTTTTTAAGTTCCATGATAACCAAGCCAGTGAAAAAGAAATGGGTCAGTCGAGAACAAGCAAACTTCAGAACAGACTATAGTACAATTACATTGCCATAGTAGAACAACCCACTTTTTAAGACTGTTCTAAATCTAGGAGGTAACATGAACTATTTTCTACAAGACAGATATGTGAAGAGTTTGGATTGAGGACCTAACCATTCTAGTATGCATAGAATACAGGCATTGTTGTGTTAATGGATATTTGAAATACACTAAATATTGGATTTATGTTAAATGTACTGGCAGTGAATATAACTAATAGCTTATTGAATTGAAAAATATTTTGATGTATGGCAGAACTCAATATGATCAGTGAATAAAACTTAAAAGTGTTTGGTTACATTAATCATGAGACAAGCTTGTTTAAATATTTCCCTTTGAAATAAAGGGAGTAGTAGAAAGGGTTTTGAATCCTGTTTGAAGGTTCTTTTTTTTCCTCTCCATTTGGTGGGTTTCAATTGAATGAAATCCCATAATTACTGCTACCTTGTTTGGGAATTTGAGGAGTTGCAGACCTGCACATTTGGATTGCATTATATTGAAGAAGTTTACTTGTGCGATAAATGGTGTCAGAAGATTCATTTGAATATTGTTTGTTTTTATTTCCTTGTCCAGTATACTGTGCCAATTCTTTGGTATACAGTGTTACACATTCTTCAAGGCAAAGGCAGCATTCCCTACTGTATGCTTCAAATGCTACTGAAACTAATTGTTCTGATGTTCAGTACCCTACTACTTGTTGTGATCAGAGTTCAAGTTATACAGTCCCAGTTACCGGTGTTTACAAGGTAAATTCCACTGTTTGTAATCGTGAAGAAACTTGGGGAAAAGTGGATAAATATTTCTGTTTGAAGTAGTTTTCCTATTCCTTGGCTTTGTGTTCAGGATATATACACTGCTCAAAAAAATAAAGAGAACACTTAAATAACTCCAAGTCAATCACATTTCTGTGAAATCAAACTGTCCACTTAGGTAGCAACATTGATTGACAATCAATTTCACATGCTGTTGTGCAAATAGAATAGACAACAGGTGGAAAGCATAGGCAGTTAGCAAGACATCCCCAATAAAGGAGTGGTTCTGCAGGTGGTGACCATAGACCACTTCTCAGTTCCTATGCTTTCTGGCTGATGGGTTGGTCACTTTTGAATGCTGGCGATGCTTTCACTCTAGTGGTAGCATGAGACGGAGTCCACAACCCACACAAGTGGTTCAGGTAGTGCAGCTCAACCAGGATGGCACATCAATGCGAGCTGTGGCAAGAAGGTTTGCTGTGTCTGTCAGCATAGTGTCCAGAGCATGGAGGCGCTACCAGGAGATAGGCCAGTACATCAGGAGACATGGAGGAGGCCATAGGAGGGCAACAACCCAGCATCAGGACCGCTACCTCTGCCTTTGTGCAAGGAGGGACAGGAGGAGCACTACCAGAGCCCTGCAAAATAACCTCCAGCGGGCCACAAATGTTCATGTTGCTGCTCAAATGGTCAGAAACAGACTCCATGAGGGCCCGACGACCACAGGTGGTTGTGCTTACAGCACAACACCGTGCAGGACATTTGGCATTTGCCAGAGAACACCAAGATTGGCAAATTCATCACTGGTGCCTTGTGCTCTTCACAGATGAAAGCAGGTTCACACTGAGCACATGTGACAGACGTGACAGGGTCTGGAGACGCCGTGGAGAATGTTCTGCTGCCTGCAACATCCTCCAGCATGACTGGTTTGGCAGTGGGTCAGTAATGGTGTGGGGTGGCATTTCTTTAGGGGGCCGCACAGCCCTCCATGTGCTCGCCAGAGGTAGCCTGACTGCCATTAGGTACCGAGATGAGATCCTCAGACCCCTTGTGAGACCATATGCTGGTGCGGTTGGCCCTGGGTTCCTCCTAATGCACGACAATGCTAGACCTCATGTGGCTGGAGTGTGTCAGCAGTTCCTGCAAGATGAAGGCATTGATGCTATGGACTGGCCCGCCTGTTCCCCAGACCTGAATCCAATTGAGCACATCTGGGACATCATGTCTCGTTCCATCCACCAATGCCACGTTGCACCGCAGACTGTCCAGGAGTTGGGGGATGCTTTAGTCCAGGTGTGGGAGGAGATCCCTCAGGAGACCATCCGCCACCTCATCAGGAGGAGCATGCCCAGGCATTGTAGGGAGGTCATACAGGCACGTGGAGCCCACACACACTACTGAGCCTCATTTTGACTTGTTTTAAGGACATTACATCAAAGTTGGATCAGCCTGTAGTGTTTTTTTCCACTTTAATTTTGAGTGTAACTCCAAATCCAGACCTCCATGGGTTGCTAAATTTGATTTCCATTGATAATTTTTGTGTGATTTTGTTGTCAGCACATTCAACTATGTAATGAACAAAGTATTTAATAAGAATATTTCCTTCATTCAGATCTAGGACGTCTTATTTTTGTGTTCCCTTTATTTTTTTGAGCAGTGTATTTTATCTCACTTATGCATTAAACATGTTGGCTCTTATGTTTATTGTTCCGACAAACTCATAAGTCTATTCAGGAATTCCCCTGTAAGTATAGGGATTGAAATTAGATAGAAGATAAAGTATGCATTGCCCGTCTCAGATTTGCTCATCTGCAAAAGATAGGGTACATGCATGCAGCGCATGTTTCCTCATCCAGGATTCAGTCATAGATCTCCAGAAGTCAACTATTCACAGCTTAATTAGGATGGCAGGTTTGAATTCAGCAGAAGTTCTCAGACCCTTGACATGCTGTAGTTAGATAAGAATAGGCTGAAATTGTATTAAATAATGGAGGCTTCTCTGTCAACATAACTATTCTTCTTTCTTATACCCATACCAGTTTATACCTTGGTCCCTTTCCCATATTTCAATGGACTTGCCGGCTTGAAGCCAAGCAGTTGCTGGCTTTTGAGTAAAGAGCTATCTCTGTCCTGAGAATTTGTTTCCATAATTTTTGGGTGGACTTCAATATACCCTGTCATCCACTAACTTGGTGGTTTCACTTAATATATTTTATACTATTTACTACATAAAAGCACCTCAAAGCAGTTTACAACATATGAATTGTACAATAAAATAATAAATGTAAAAACCAATAGAGTAAGAAGGGGGAGGTGAGAAAGCAGAAACAAAAAGTATTTGCCCAACATTTATGTAAAGAAGGCTTGGTAGAAGAGAGAGGATTTTAACATATTTCTCGTAAAATATTACAGGCATGATTAAAGGATAGCACTCTGCAGTCCTAGGTACATGCAATAGAAGTTCCTTGGTGATTTCAGCAGTTAATCATGTCTGTATCAGCAAAGCAATCTTCTGGGCATCCTGACCTTGTACAAGATACATGAATCATGAACCCAGTAAGGTTCTGCTTGCACCAGACTTTTAAAAAGTTGCCAAACCCAGTTTAAACAGATTAACTGATCAGTTAACTTGCTTGCTTTGGACTTCAGCTTGTATCTGCTAAATTATAGAAATGTATAAATTGTTGTTTTCCTTGGTTCGATAAAAGGTCAAGGCAGCTTTGCAAGAATTTTAACTAGGGTTTGACCCTTCATGAATGGAAGAAGTCCTTCCCTTGGCCAAAAACGCAAGAATCCAGCTTGATTGGGGCTGCAATTTTCACCATTGCTACTGTCCCATTTTGCATACTGTTTTGAATAAGCTTTCTACTTTCAGCACTGTTGTAGGGGAAGGAAGAGGGGGAAAAATCATTTTCCCTCCAACCTCTCTCTTTAGGTCATCCATTTCACAAAATACTTTTTTAACTCAATCCTGGATCTAATCCAGACATTTAATATACGTCTCCTGTTATATGTCATGTCATATGGTTGCACCTCAACTCAACTTTTTCTTTCTAGGTTTGATAACCCAGCTGCTGTAAGTCCATCTCCTGTGAGGCAGCTGACTTTCAATTACCTCCTTCCAGTAAATGCTTGGCTGCTTCTAAATCCTTCTGAATTGTGTTGTGACTGGACAATGGGCACCATCCCATTGGTAGAATCCATACTAGATATAAGAAATATTGCCACTGTCACCTTCTTCTGCTTTTTGGGCACTTTGGTGGTCTTCAGTCTCCGATATCCTGGGGATTCCTCCAAGACTGTATTAATGGTAAGTGACATTATGGGGCTACCTATCAAGACTGGTTGAGACTGACTTGAAGGAAGGAGGTGAGCCTCCCACCCCCAGCTCACATAACTGTGCCACCCACCCCCAGCTCACTAAGTCAACCCAAAAAGATTGCATGGTCAATGGTATCAAAAGTCACCAAGAGGTCAAAACAAGCAAGGATGGCTGCATGCCTCCATTCCGCTACTACCCAAGATTATCTATGACTGTGACCACTACCATTTCAGTCCTAAAACTGGGCCTGAAACTTAACTGAAGAGAATCCAAATAATCTATTTCCTCAGTAACACACTGCCTTCTCAACCATTTTCCCTCAAAAGGCGAGGTTGAAGACTGGACAAAAATTGTCCGGAATGGTATGAAGCCATGGCTTCTTAAGGAGGAGGCACACCAGTGCCTCTTTAAAAAGATCCACGAACTTCCCCGCCAACAAGGATAAATTCACCATCTACCTCCTGGGCAGTCTTAACCAGCCAGGAGGGCATGGATCTAATACACAGGTGGTAGCATTTACATTCCAGAGGATCCTGTCCATTTCCTCAAGTCCAACAGAATCAAACCAATCCCAAATAACTGGGTAAGTCTATTCTCTGGGCGTCTCCACAGGACTTACACCAGGCTTGGTAACCAGTTGGGAATGAATCCAAGCGATTTTATCCTACAGGTGCACAGAAAATTCCTCTGCATGGCCCTGTAAATGGGCCTTCAGGCTCCCCTTTCCAAGGAGAATCCAGGTAACCCTAAACAGGGTGCTGGGTGGTGGAGGGGAGAAGTATTGGCACTTCTCTGTTCCTGCCATCATGAGATAAGCCTTGATAGTGGCCTTAGCCTGTGGTCAAGCTCATTCTTCGTTTTCTTCCCGTGCTCCTTTAGATGTCTCCTGACTCTTTTTCAACTCCCTCAGCTCCTCTGTAAATCACAGGGAGCAGCAGGATAGATGGGCCAAGAGAGGCAGCATTCCCTAACCCTGGCCTCTCGGTTCCCTTACCTGGGGGATCCTCCATCCCAAACATACAACCCAGGTACAGTGAACCTGGGATAATGGTGAGACCTGAAGTACTTCAGCGCTCACTCTCAGCACAAGTGGAACTCCTCTTGTATTACTTGCAACTAGACAGAGAGATTTAAATATATACTAAATTAGATTATTCTGCATTCAGCACATTTTCTTTAGACTTTTCTTTTCTTTTCATGTTTCTTTATTTCAGCAGCTACAATTCAGTCCCAATTCAGTGTAAGTGATAGAAATATTCCCAAGTCGATTTTGCTGCATATATGATAATAGACATCTTATTTATCACCACATTTGATTTAATTAGCTAAGTTCTGTTGCATGTTCTGTTGTACTATACTTGCATAGGTTCATTTCAATAATTATTTTTTGTAGGTATTGTATTAATTATTGTTCCTACTGTGCCTCTACATTACTTTTTGTCCTTGAATGTTGTAACACTTTGGGTTGCATTAGTTCAGCACTCAGGAAAACATCGGCATTCATCAAGCTGGTACATTGTACATTATTTGTAGTCAAAATTATGAGGAACATTGGATGTATCAAGAATGGGCTGCATAATGCATCTTCTGAATTATGCTGAATTTTTAAAAGTCTTTCGTGGAGCGTCTGTTTCACAGTGTAACTTTGTATCTGCTCCTCTGTGCTTATGGGGCACTTGTAATATACGCATACAATGTGGGCTTTATTGACAGCAGGGCTTTTTTGCCAGGTTAAAACAACACAGTAACAGCACTGTGGGTAGTTTCTGGGTTAAAGGACTCTCCCCTCCTCCCATCCAATGCTTGATCTATGAATGAAATGAAATCTGTCATGAGCAAAAATGCTGGAAGTCACTTGATTACTTCCTAACAACCATTGCTGTTCTAGCAATAATTTAGGAAAACAAACAATTAAATAGAAAGGGGAGACCTTGGGGTAATTTTGTGCTTTATGTTGATCACAGTTATAATGGAGCCCGAGTAATGTGATTTGTTACATAAAAAAGTTATATGGGCTACATACAGTCAGCATCACAAAAACATTAAAATGTCATTAGAAAATCCTATTTTTCCTGGCCATCTGGTTTTTCAGCAGATTTCATTTAAAGGTATATGAATGCTTTAAGGGTTTTTTTTAGAAACTGAATTCTGCAGCAAAAATAGGTAGCATTTTGATTTGGAATATACCACCAGAAGTTAGACATTTAGTGTTGCCTACATTAAGAATGGATTTACGTGATTCTTGTGTGAGTTATTCAGAGTTGCTTAGGGTGAGCGGCCATATAAATACTTTAACTAAATGAATTATAAGTTTAGGCAACGTTTCTGTTGTGTCATTATTATAAAAACTAAGCACTTGCATACTTTTTAATTTCATTTCCTAAAAGCTTATTGGCGTTTTATGTTGACTGTTGAGTTCATAATGACTCGATAGGATTATGAATAAATTGCCTTCACTCTCTGCTAAGGGAGTAGTTTGGATGTGGCTCAGCAGCAAAAAAAAAGAAGAAGAAAAACCGGCAGAGATGCATCCAAAGACATTTGGCTGGGTATTTTACTATGAAGAAAAAAACAAGTAATTCATTCCTTTTCCAGGAAAGCCTGCTTTGTAGTTTGTGCTCCAGGAAGAAGCTTATGAATTATTATTGATCTAAATTAAACACATTATCTGAGAACCTGAGTTACTTCAGGAGGCAGAACTTAAAATCAGTCTGAGTCATGGGTTGCCTTGGACATCACAACTGATGGCGCTGGCCGTTGGGAGATAGTACCCAGTGTAATGTATGTATGTAATATACTTGCCATACTGAGTATGACATATCTGGGCATCAGGGTCTAATAAACTTGCACGTATTCTATGCTGCTTTATAACATTGCTTTCTGAGAAGCAGTATGTAACTTACGTAAAATGTGCAGTGATGGAAGCATAAGGACAACTCCCTGCCTTTAAGCAGATTGAGACAGATAACCTTACAAAGAGCTAGGAGTGCAACAGAGGTAGCTAACCCAGTTGCTTGTATGTTGTTTGCAATTAAATCTTGGGTAAGGTTTTGCAAAGCTAAGCAGATCTAGCTGTGTAAACTTCAAGGAATTAGAAAGGTTGTGAATAAACTGTTCCAATATTGGCACTGCGTACAGATGAATTTTAAGAAGTAGCTTTGGAGACATGCTTTCTAGACATACTTTAAAAGGACACAAAATAAATCTAGATATGGTAAGCGCATATAAGTGAATAACAAGTTACCAATTCCATCAGAACTCTAGAGGAAAAAATGGGGATCTAAATGTAAAATTAAATCAGTGCCTCTTTCACAGACATGTATGCTGTAGGTCTATATAATGGTTAAGTATTTTTCTGCTTTGGGTTACTAGCTAGTGTTTGTGTGTTCTTTTTCTTTTGTTCTTTTAGGCACTTTGTTTAATAGTTTTGCCATTCATCCCAGCGTCAAACCTTTTTTTCCCTGTTGGCTTCGTAGTAGCAGAACGAGTGTTATATGTTCCCAGCATGGGATTCTGCATGCTAGTGGCTCATGGGTGGAAAAAGCTGTCAAGTAACAGGTAGGTTAAAACTTATTGCTTAGGGAAAAGGGGTCGGGGTGGGGGGGGCATGAATGGAAACTAAAGGTGAAATTGCTTGCATGGAAGAGTTATCTGAGTGGCTTAATATCTTTACTTGCTTTTACCATCTTTTCCACATCATAATCAGCAAAATGTAGGAATTTTCTTTTGGGGAAAGGGAGGAAAATATATCTCAAAAGCCATTACATTTTTTAAAGTTGTCATTAATGTTTTAACAATTAAATAAACTAATTAGAATTGAAATTTCCCCAAGTATTCAGGATCTGAGCCTTTAAATGGAACATTCTACAATACTATTTTAAATGTTTATTTAAAGCACTAATTTGCCTGACTTTTCCAAATGATTAGCCTCTTATTTTACTTATCAACAATTCAGTCATAGTACCATTCCTTTTATGTAAATATTTTAAAATAGCCTGAGGGCATCCCTTAACTTGAGACTAAGTGAAAGGGATTTTCTAAATTTCCTTTCATTATTTTCTCTTTCCTGTAGTTCCTTATTACTATATCTGCTTGTTTTAAAGATTTTTAGCACCTGAGAAAGAAATTAAGAGTTTTTTAAAAATGCTTTGATATTTCAGCAATTATAGTTTTCTATTTTTGAAATTTTATATGGTTTGGTTTTGCTTCCTTTTTAAAAATGGAGATGCCTTTTCTGAATAATTAATTGCTAATAATTTGTACTGTTTTTATTTTATCAAATTATTTAATTTGTAATTATGACACTCTTGTAACATGTTTTGTTCTTAACACATAAGCTCTGTCAACTCAGATGTGTTTCTAAAATAAAATATTTGCTCTTTTTGTCGCCTCAGTTTCCTGTATAACATAAATCATAGTTGTAGCTGAGCAAATTGTTATATTAAACATCCAAACTAAGTTCACAGACTGGGCTTAAAGTAGAGTCTTGATTTTCCTTTGGAGGGAAGTGACTATCAGTTGTTTGACTTTTTTTTTTTGTCAAAGAAATGAATATTTTATTTTGCATTGCTTGCTTCTTAAGAATGAGAATAAATATTGCTTCATACAATAAAATAATTTAGATTGACTTCATGGTTTTGTTCATTACTTTTATGCCATCATAGCAGCAAACCAGAAATGAATGCTGAAACTATAATTGTTTTTAGATAGACAGACAGACAGACAGACCTGTTCCACAGTTTCAAATGGTCACATATAGGCAGCTATATTTCTTCATTTTGACAATGAAGTCCAGATTCCAATTATTTCAAATAAGTCCCATTTTGCAAAATAGCGATATTTAGTTACTAGTAGGATTCAATAAGCTCCTAATGATTCAAACATGCTAAGATCAATGGATTGAATGACAAATATAGTCAGTTGCTATACAGAAGCAACTTCCATCTATATAGGGTTCATGATCTCTTTGTATCTTATTACTGTTTATTTGTAATAAAGTGCTAAATGCAAAATATCATTGAATTTAGCAAAACTGCCTTAGCACTTAGCACTCTCCTGCCATCATCTGCTCTGCTTCCTGAAGCAGCTAATTGTGAAAATGTGGTTAATGTTAAATTGGATCCAGAATTGTAAACTGAGCTTATATGAGTTAAATGCCCTTATTGGGAAAATACGTTATGTTAGCCTGAGAAATCATGAATTACATTAACCACATATTTCTTCATTTTTACTTACTAGTACCCTGAGAAAGCTATCATGGATTTGCTTGTCTTTGGTTTTGTTCATTCATGCTTTAAAAACATTGCAGAGGAACTGGGATTGGGAATCGGAATACACATTGTTTATGTCTGCTTTAAAGGTACAGTATTATTATTCTAAACTCTTATTTTTGATAATAAGGCATTCTTGAAGGATTTATGTCAGAAAAAAGTACTCCAGGATTGACAGCCTCTGATACCTTAGTTTTCAGAGCTCTTCCCTCCTGTCTAAGAAGGGTCTGAGAATTGGTAAATTTACGTTGTCCTCGGTTAATAACCGCCTCATTTAGCATTGAATTTGCAACAGTGTTGGAAAAAGTAGATTTAAAACTGGTTCCCGAACTTACGGCTGTCGCAGTGTTTCTGTAGTCATGTGATCATTATTTGGGTATCGCAACCAGCATGCATTTCTGACAGCTGCAGTATCCTATGGTCATGTGATTTACATTTGTGACCTTCTTAGTTGGCTTCCGACAAGCAAAGTCAATGGGGAAGCTAGGAAAAAGCTACTTATGGTCATATGACATCGTGCTTAATGGCTTCAGATTATCTGCTGAACAACCACAGCAGATATAAATTGGGTGCTGTCACATGATGTTTCACTTAATAATCACATTGTTTTAACGACAAAATTATGAGTCCCAGTTGTGGTCATTAAGTGAGGACTGTCTGTAGATGAAAAATCAGAGTTACTCTACTACTGAAATACAAGTCCTAAGACATGTCTAGCTAAAACAGTATATGTAATACTGAGAAATTTATTTTTTTAGCAATACATTTTTTTTTTATTTTTTGTTTCAACAGTGTCTTACATTTTAAAACAAATATGACAATAGTTTCCATCTTTGGTGCAATAATATTAACTTACTAAAAATCAAATTTACCTTTTGTCCTGATTCCTCCCACAATTTTTCTTACTGTATCCACTGTCATACCATTTCAATCTTTTATAGTAGATGTCTTCAAATCCGATGTCTCAGGAGATGAAAACTGTAACTGCCAGAATTCTCAATATGGCCATGACAGGTAGAGAATTCTAGGAGTTGACATTCATGCACGTGGAAGGCACCAAGCTGGAGGAATCTATCCTGAGCAATTAAGGAATTTACTATCATCTATCATAAGTCTTTTGTATTTTAAATTTGAAATAAATGAGTTCAGCTCCAAATGTCCCTAACATTATTGGTGTGCCCATAAAGCTTTTATATATTCCCTTAGTCTATGCATTGGCAAGTTCTTTATACATACTTTCTTAAACATTCCACATCAATAAGATTATGCTTTCATAACTGAATTATTCAATTTGCATAGCACTTGTTTGTTTCTGATATGTCATGAACATGTTTTCTGTGTTCAGGTGAATAAGAACAATGCCAAACTCTGGAATAATGTGGGTCATGCTTTAGAAAATGAAAAGAACTTTGAAAGAGCGTTGCGATTCTTCATACAGGCCACCCAAGTGCAGCCAGGTGAGTTGTAAAAGATAGCTAGCATGAAAGGCAATAATATGAGAACTCTCTTTGCGTAATATTTTCCCCGTGACCAGAAAAGCCTTTGCCTAGTATTAGTTGGCATTATCAGCACTGCAACTTAGACCAGAAAGCTTTAATGGCTCATTTCTTTATCCCCATGCATTTTACTATTGCAGTGCTCCCTTTGAGGTACTGCCTTTGAAGACAACTCAGTAATCAACACGGATATAAGAGGTTTACAGGATATCTTTACAGGATAATTATTTTATGATTCTTATGCTAGGCTGTATTGGGGATCACTTTAACCATGTTTTCTGCCCTATCTATAACACCATTGAGAAAGGGGTTTCTTTTTTCCTCTTGTCATTGCAAGAGGTGGAAGGACCATAGTCCAGAAGGACAAGCAATCTCCTTGGTTGCTCCAGCACTGGAAAACTTGCTGTCTGCAGAGATAAGTCTGTTCCTATTCTTGGCATTCCAGAAAGTCCTGAAAATTCCTCTTTTTAAACAGGAATTTGTTCTGAGCTAATATGACAGTCGGCTGTTCTTAGCAAGGTTACTTTGGTCTGAGAGTATTGAGTTTTACTATGAAATGTTAGTTTATGTTTTTCTGTTAACTACTCAGGGTGATACTTTGGAGTAATACATAAATTGTGAAAGTGAAATAAATGTTAGTGTGAAATCTTAAAAATGTATATAATTTTATGAATTTATATAAGTATGGAAAGTTTGCTTGTGTCCTGATTCCCTAAATATAATATTTTAAGAAGCTGTTTAAAGAAACTTCCCGCTCCATCTAGCTATTATTAAGTTGCATATTAATCTTCCAAGGCTGATTTTTCTAAGGGAAAGCTCTGTAATTCAGAGGCAAAGCACATGTTTTACGTGCAAAAAGTTCCATGCTCAGTCCTTAACAATGCTATTTAAAAAGAATCAGGTATGCGTGAGATTCTAGGAACATTGTAGTCATCAAAGTAGCTTGTGCTTGGGAGGCAATGTACATCCCTCTGATTGCTTCCAAATTGTAATCCCTCATCATTGCCATATTGGCCTAGGCTGACAGAATCCAGAGGTAGCTTAAAAGCATCTTTACCCGCCTCTGAATTAAACAGCCAAGTGGCCCAAGCAAAGATAAACCATATTTTTTTATGTAATGTGTGCAATATGTGTGTGTGTTCTGTACTTTGAACTTTGCAAAATACTTGTTTGAATTATCAAATTAATTTCTTGAGACTAGTTTGACAAAACTGTACAACATATGTCATATCAGTCACACTTTAGATAGAAATAAGTGGAAGCAAAGAGGATTTAATATTTATTTGATGTCTAGTTTAAAATTGTTGTGATTGAAGCTAGAATTTTAGAGGGAAAGAAAGTACTGAAGGTCTTGTTTATCTTGCAATTTGAAGATGATATTGGTGCCCATATGAATGTAGGAAGAACTTACAAAAATTTAAACAGAACCAGAGAAGCAGAAGAATCCTACTTAGTTGCAAAATCATTGATGCCACAGGTAAGTGGAATACACGGCTTATTTGAGAAGTTGCATTGGACTTGGAATGTTTTTTTAGCAAAAAATGTTGTAGCACAGGGAGTCTTCTTTTTTACTTTGCTAGAAATTTTAGCAATCAGTCTAGGTCAGCCTTTTTCTTGTCTATATTTTCATAATTTTCATATTTTTAATTTAATGTTTAATATTTTTAAAAATTAAAAATGTATATGGTGGGTTATTAATTGTCTACAGTTATATCTCAGCCTGCTTTTGTATTAGAACTGTGTATTCTCAATTCAAATGAAAGTTGTACTTAGTTTAAAGTAATTGTAATTTAGGCCTTTCATTTTAAAACTACAGTCTTTGACACAACTTTCATTTCTGATAAATTTATGGTTAATACTCTTCCTAACCTAATATAATTCCTTCTGCTGTCAGATTATTCCAGGTAAAAAATATGCTGCGCGAGTCGCTCCTAACCATCTGAATGTTTACATAAACCTTGCAAACCTGATTCGGGCAAATGAGTCTCGTCTTGAAGAAGCAGACCAATTGTATCGTCAAGCCATTAGCATGAGACCAGATTTCAAACAGGCCTACATAAGCAGGTACTGTATAATCTTATATTCATAATGAAATGCCAAACGTGAGCAGGCAACTCTGCTGTCTAAAACAAAAGCTATTTTAATAGCAAGAAAATGGAGTGAATTGAAACCACATAATTTAAAGTTTTGATTCTCAACAGGGGTGAATTGCTTCTAAAGATGAATAAACCTCTGCAAGCTAAAGAAGCTTACCTAATGGCTCTTGAATTGGACCGAAGCAATGCAGACCTATGGTATAACTTGGCAATTGTTTATATTGAATTGAAAGATCCCTCTGAAGCACTGAAGAACTTCAATCAGGCATTAGAACTGAATCCTAATCACAAACTAGCCTTGTTCAATTCTGCACTGTTGATGCAAGAATCTGGTATGTGTCGCTAGAACTTTAAAACAAGATTCTAAAAGTTGTATTATATTTTATTATTATTTATTAACATGCTCTATGGGGAAGAAATACAGAAAAGGTCAGGAAAAAAATACATAAAAAACTCCCAAAACAAAACAACATGTGTCACATAATAACAAAATTTCAAACCAAAATTAGTAATAATCAATGACTCTCTAGCATGATCACAAAATGACATCATGAAATATCCTTAAATCTATGCCATAGAAAATCATATTTATTTTTTTACTGAATAGTCAAGATTGCTTTTCCAAGAAAAGGGTAAGACATACCTCTAGCACACAATGCTGTCTCAGGAGTACAAATTATAAGCAAGTTCAATATTTCCCATTCAGGATGGATTGTCTAAACTCTAAAGTCATTTGAAGATACATTTGCAAATTATAAGCAAGTACAAATTATAAACAAGTTCAATATTTCCCATTCAGGATGGATTGTCTAAACTCTAAACTCATTTGAAGATACATTTGCAAAACTGAGTTCCATCATATTTACAATTTTCCCTCTTAAGTCAAATTCTAGCTTATAAGAAAAGTATTCCTTGTAATTAAACACAAGATCGTGTCCTTGCATTGTGCATTGTGTCTTCAGTGCTTTTTCTACAATGATTGGTTGTGATTTTGGTGCAGTGGTTAAGGTACTGAATAGACAACTATGAGGTGTAGTTTCAAAGCCACGTTTTGTCATGGAAAATCACTGTCTTCCAGCTCAACTTACCCTAGAGGGTTGCTGCTATAGGAAAAAGTAGGAAGGAGGAAGTAGTATATATTTCACTTTTGAGTTCTGGAGGAAAGGTGAGATACAAACAAGATTTGAAGCAGGAAATCGTAATAACTTTAAAAGCCTTGGGATGGAATCAGTGGGGCAATTTTCCTGGGCCCCATCCAATTATTTTTCAATATTTGAAAGGATGAGTTATTATTTTCCATTCAAATCAATTAAATTAATCAATTGAAATCCAAAAATTATATAGGCATTCTGACTTCCAAATCCTTTACCTCAGTTGGGCAAAAAATATTCTGTAATAATGGATGTTTGGGTGGGGGGAAGTAGGTATGTAGTACACTTCCCCTGGATCTTTCAGACTTTTAAATCTTTCAGACTATAAGAAAGATCCTATATCAAATTGTAAAATTATAGTATCGTGAATCTAAATCTACAAGCATAAGTAATAAAGAATGTTGATATTGTTCTGTTTACACAGCCCTGAATAGTCCATATTAATGTTCATTTGTTGCTTTAGGTGAGGCCAGCCTTAGGCCTGAAGCTAAAAAGAGACTTCTAAGTTATATAAAAGAAGAATCTCAAGATGCAAATGGTTATTTTAACTTAGGCATGCTTGCAATGGATGATAAAAAAGATGAGGAAGCTGAGATGTGGATGAAAAAAGCCATAAAGCTACTTCCAGGCTTCCGCAGTGCTTTGTTCAACTTGGCCTTGCTCTACTCTCAGACTGCAAAAGAGCTGAAAGCTTTACCCGTGCTGGAAGAGTTGCTGAGGTACTACCCAGATCATACCAAAGGTTTGATTTTGAAGGGAGACATTTTGATGAACCAAAAGAAAGATATACAGGGAGCAAAACAATGTTTTGAGAAAATTCTGAAAATGGATCCAAACAATGTGCAAGGAAAACACAACCTCTGTGTGGTTTACTTTGAAGAACGAGACTTACTAAAGGCAGAAAAATGCTTAGTGGAAACACTGGCTTTAGCCCCACATGAGGAATACATCCAACGCCATTTAAGCATTGTCCGAAGTAAAATTGCTTCCCTCAGACCAGGGGATTCAAGTGTGACTCATACAGAAAAAGTAGCATCTGTGGAAGAAAAAAAAACTCAGTCTGAACACTTGAAAGAGATAAAAAATGAGCAAAAAAAATCTCAGACTACAAATACTAATGGCAGCAAGGGGCAGAGGAAATCCAAAAAACATGGAAATAAAAACTCTACAGACAAAGAGACAAAAAAGAAATCAACAAAAGAAATAAAAGAGATAGAGAAAAAAAGAGTTGCTGCACTGAAAAGACTGGAAGAGATTGAACGTATATTAAATGGTGAATAATTGCTTGGAGCACCACTGTAAGGGAAACTGGCATCTATTTTGCAGATTTTACATGTGCATTGCATGTGTTTTCAGTCAAAGTGATCACCGGGTGCTTTTGAATTTTGAAAGAATATTGAAATGTTAACTAAAATTGAAGAAGCTAAACAATGAATAGGAAAAGCCATGGCTTTTAACCAAGGATGCTTGGTTACGGAGTTGCACATAACTGAAACACAAGGACTTTTCCAGCAATGGAAGCTATATTCTAATATTACCGGTTAGAATAGCTTATTACTTCAGAAACAAATCTCACTAAACTAAACTCCTTATTTGAAAGCAAGCATGTAAGAGCTTGGATGCAAAATACTTGCAACCAACTATGCTCAGTTCTTTCTGTTCTCAAAGAACAGTTGAAATGTTGATAGATAAATATTAAAGAGAGCCTCAGGTTTATTGGTTCACCAGACTAATTTTACTAGAAGAAACCATTGGTCTGAGTATTTAAGCATTATAAATTAATTTGGATGACTATTATTTTATTTCATACATCAGATCATTTTTTATGTAAATGTATGTGGCATATTCCCATTTTGTCCTCCTGCTTCCCTGTAAGTATTAATGTTCCAGAATGCATTGGGAATTAATTAGCAAATACCACTTGTGTTGCTGTATGTGCATGCATGCATTTGATGTTTTTTTTAAAAAAAAAATTTTAATCACTCAAAAGGTAGTGATTTTCTGTATCGTGGGGACAAGCAGGAATTCTCATCCCCAAAAGATATCCCTACTGAAAAGCTTTGTCCTGTTTTTTTGTTTTGTTTGTTACCAGCACAATCCTCTGAGATTTCTAATATAGGAAAAATGTAACTGTTTCTGAACTGTCATCCATTTTTTAAGAAATAATGCAAAACCTACGGGATCATTTCTAAGATGGTGGATTTTTTAAAAATTATTTTATGGTTGAATGCAACATCTCACAATATAAACCAGGTATCTTTTTAAGCTCCTCGCTGTTTAAATTGCCTTCCTGTGATAATGCATTATCAGGAATGGCAAACCATTTCAGTTTTATTTGCAATCATGGTAATTATGTTTGAATATATAAAATGTAGACCCGTATCACATAATATCAGCCACCAACTGCTTAGGTGACTTCTATGGAGATTAAGATTGAAAAGAGAGAACAGAATGCTTCAGCTCCTTGGAAAAATGCAGGATATATCTAAAATGAATAAAATCATTTGCAACAAAAAAACCATATGTTTGACATTTTGGAAGTCCCAGGATTCTAAGGGACACCTGCAAAAGAAAAAAAAATGCTTTATCATGGTATGAGCTAGCTAAAGAAATAATCTAACATGGTATAAGACAACTTGTGTTCCTGCTTGAAGAAACGAAACAGGTGTAGAAACAAAATGAAAATAAGAAAAAAATGAACAAATGTCTTAGCTGCTAATAAGCAAAAGGCATTTCTTACAATTAGAAGTTGTAGGGACTGAGTCCACAACATATAATAACTGCAAAGAACACCTTATATTTGAGGTAAATACGTGCCCTGAATCATCTTTTCTTTAGATGCCTCAGGAAACTAGTAGCTGGAAGTGTACTTCCTCTCCCCATCATCATGTTATATATAACAGATTGTCATGTGACCATCATACTTGTGACTTACACAAGGATTACTTATTGCATTAAATCGTCATATAAATTCAGAATTTGTTTTCAGCTTGAAAGTTTCTGGTATAATTCCAAACATGATTTCCTATTTTTATTGCAGAAATTTGGGCATTACAATTAAAATACTTGTTTTGCTAAATTTCTTATGATTTTCATTAACAGCTTTGTTAGGATAAGATAACTCAATCTCTTATGTGAAACTTGCTCATCATTTTTATATCTGTGGCTATATATTCTTCCTCAGTTTGTCTTTGGATCACCTAAGAGTGTTTTGGTTGTGGTTTTTTAATCATTCTTTTCATTATGTTAACTCCATGGATGTTGGAAGAAATGTTTACATGAGCAAACTTACTGAATTCTTTATTATTTTATCCCTTTTTTCATAACATGTCTTAGCATAGGTTAGTATGAACTCCAAAACAATCAGAACTGTTGCTTTTTTAAAAAAATGTGTCACAAACTCAGGAAATCCTAGTAGTTTCTACAGGACAAAGATTTCAGGTTTGTTTTTTTTATTAAAATATTGAATGGAAGGAGCCACACAGGCTAACCAAATTTTACATTTGGGTTCTGATACAAAACAAAGCACTTTTATGCACATACTAAGAGATGCTTAAATACAAAGTGAAAGCTGGCAAAAGCAGCAGTTTCCCTGATGGCAAAGTATCTCACTGAGGTGGATTGTAAAAGATGTGCCAGTCGAATGTTGGCATATATATCATTGTGTCATCTTCACTGATGCCTTGGTTTCATCCATAGACAACCTGACATTACCCATAGGCAACACTGAATATCATCCAGTTTCTGTGCCTCATTGCCACCGATTGGCTTCATCCCATGTTATTCCAGATTCTGTTCTGGGGGGAGGGATGTGCAGAAGAGCCCATAGTGGGGAAGGAAAACCTTACTGTGCATGTGGATTGCTACCCAGTCTCGAAATATTTGTATATGCTTAAACATAAATTGGAATGTCTGTGAAATAATAAACAGTAGCTTGATATGTTCATAATTTCTGTGTGGGGATGCTGTTTTCTAGTTGACAACTTACTAGCACAGACTGTTTAAAAAGGGGGGGATATAAAATGACATGAATGTATCCTCAAATAAAAGGAAATATTAGGAAATGTTGGTAAATTACCTAATGAAAGAGTTATGTGTGCATTGGTCTATCAGAAATTTTTGTCCAATCAGTATTTCATATTTCTTAGTCATCAAATTCTGTAACACAAAAGCCTTGCTATAGTACTTCTTCCCAGTTTCATGCTAGTGAAATAATAATAGACATCTAATCTTTATTCAAAGTACATTAACAGTTGGAAAACAGCTTTATCACAGAAATCGTGCAAAATCCTCCAAACTATCAAAAACATGCAATGGCTTTCCAATATTTGTATCCTGCAAACTAGTACGGTAGCAAATTCATCTTGTAAGTTGATCTTAATAACAAAATTTTAATGTGAACATGAGGTGAACAGATTTAAAAAATTACTTTATAGATAACCCATTTATTTTAACATAAAGGGTGTTTTGGATCACAATTCACATTGCTTCAGTTGGCAGTAAATTAATATTAAAAATGTGTTGCTGTTGAAATGGTATGCTGGAGTTAGGGGCACATCTCTGTGCTTCAGGCAACACTGCAATTGAATTTTTGACTGCCAAGTGTCCTTCCAACTGAAAGTCATTGAAGTTTTCATAGGCTTGTAAGATCTTCTTTATCAACTCAATCTTTAGAAGTTTGTCTGAATTTTCTTTAAAATGTGATGCCCAAACTTGAACATAAAAATGTGTGATGGGATCTATCAATTTAGAATAAAACAAAGTGAATCCTTACCTTGGGTTTGAAGATTTACACTTCTATGGATGCATTTGATTTTTTCCCCCAGCCACTTCAAAATACTCAACAGTATGCAATCAACTGTTCAGAAATATTGGTCACAAGATTCTCTCACAATATCTGTATTTGATCTTTGTGAAAATTGTATATCTTCTAATGTATTAGCCATCCACCTTTATCACAGAATGCTTACAATATATAATAGAAGTTACCACTAAAAAAATGAGATAAAATTAATCTGGCAAGTCTTGTTCCTGATAAATCCATGATGAATTCTAATTAAAAAGTTTTTTTCAAAATATTTTTGAATCTCCCTCTATAGTCTGCTGCAGAATCTTCCCATGCATTAATTTTAGACTGACCACTGACAATTCCCAATATTTTAATAATAGTAAGTTTATAATGTATTAAATTTATATGCCACCTGACTCCCAACAACTGTGTAGGTTTAATTGTTTTAATTAGAGTTGTTAAATACAGTATATTCTTTCCTGCACTTTTTTACTAGCTCCATGATAGTAAATTAATGACAGCTGTTGTGGTTTCAAAATTTAAGTATTCTTGTGCTATTTAATGACTGCAATAAAGTTATTCTATTTTATTTCAGTGAAATAAATATGTGTGAAATCCTCTTGGGACAGTATAATCCTTCATATGTGTGAAGTTCATAGTGGATAACTCGGTGTGTAAATGTCCTGGTTTTTATTACACAGACTTCTTTCTAACAGTCTTGTCTCCTTCCTGGCTTCCATGCTTTAGTTACATCTAAAGGAACATATTCAAGGGAATTCCTGCCACATTTTTTTTCAGACTGGGAAGAATGATGGAGAGACCATTAACAGAACAATGCCAGTTCTAACTTCTTTAATTTCTTCCATCAACAAGTTCAAAAACACCACTTAGAGAATTTTGAAAGAAATTCTTAGTCACCATGTGAAAAAGGTAGAAACTCTTAAAGAAAAATAAATGAGGCACTTTCCTTAGGATAAGAAAACATTTGAGACATTGCAAAAAATTTGGGTTTTCAAATATTTTTTTAAATTTAATTTAATTGTTAGTAACTTTTATTCCTATTCAATACAAAACTATGCCTGCAGCAAGAATAACTTGTAAGTATTTAGACATAAGTACTGTCTATTTTGTTTCCAAGCTACTGTGAGGAATGCAGCCAAGTTTAAGAAATAGGGAAGGCTTAGCAGGATGGTAGATGGTGCTATTATCCCTGCTAATGCAATTTTTAAGTCCAGGCACTTTGTCTCTCTGACAAAATAGCTCCATTACAATACTAGTCCAACTGGACAGTGTTAAGAGAATACCCTTTACTACCCATACATTTTGCAGACTTGTAGAGGCTTAAGAGACATATCTTCCCAGGCAGCTCTGTGCCTCTACTTTCTTCCCAAAGTAGATGCTTCACTGAGGGATAAAAGGGAGCTGGAAGAATTGAGTCATAATAATACACATTGTACTTTGCATCTACCCAGCATGCTGTTTTTATGTTCATCGGCATCTTGTGAGATGAAGTATTTTAAGCTGTAGTTAGCAGAGTACAGCTATTTTTGTGCTTATTCATACACACAATAGGGGAGCTCAAGAAAGGAAAGGAAAGGATCACAATTCTAGGAAGCTGCATATTGTGTATGGAACTTTGGGGTTCCAAATATTTTAAAAGTATTCTCACCTTTGTTTGATTTGAATTGTTAGTATCTATTTTGTAATTTTGAAACCTAGAATGTACAAACAAAATGTTTGTCAAGGCTGGAAGTTAATGTCTCCTAAAGCCTAGGTAGAACAGAAGACATCTAAATTGAAAACCTAGGGGTTTTTGCATGCTCTTTATTTTCTAAAAATTATTTAATTCAGAATCTTTGAAGCTAATTCCTCTTTGCCAACTGCTGCGTAGCAGCTTCTGGTGTGTGGGTGTATTACTGTGAATCAGCTAAAAAATACCAATTCTGCCAAATCTAGAAGCATTTAATGACTTCTCCACTATTGTTAAAAGTGTGCACCCTTTCATTAGTAGTCAGCAGAGGTCTGGATATAATATGTGCATAACTGCAGGGGTGTGAGTGACTAGAGGAAGCAGTCACAGATGAACAAAACTGTTAGGCAATATTCCATACTAAGATGTACAGAATTAACAGAAATCAGGGTGAGCTAGCGGGAGTGGGGGGGGAAACAAAGGTGCAAAAGCTTGCATTCGATTCAAGTCAAAATAATCATTTAATAAAATTATTTAGGGTTAGGTTTATAAGTCTATGCTTCCAAGGTGTTGGCCTTAGATTTTGTTTATTTAATATGTCCATAATTATTAAATTATTAAAACACGTTTCACCAGTAAGTGTGATGAAATATATTTTATGAAATGCCATTTAATTTCTTTGAAAATAAAAGTGAAAATCTTTGAACTTTGAAAATCAGTTCAGTGTCCAAGATGAGACTAATAAATTCTCTGCCTGTATCATCTCACCTTTCGAACGTAATTGAGTAAACAATAACAAGAATTATATAATGATAATACGATTATAAGGAATATGTGGACTTTAGAACAATTATAGTTAGGAAGTTTTACACACTGGTCCCAAACATAACC